AGGCTATCTTCAAGTAGAAGTGAGGTTCCTTTAATAAAGATGGCTACTACTTTCCACTGTTTTCAGTGAGTATGAAAACATGTCCATGGGCAAAATGGCTACCACTCTGTGGTTCAGGGGACTACATAGGATATGGGGACAGCGAGGAGCAGCAGATACATTGTGAAGGGTGAATGGGGAAAGTGAGGGGGAGCAGGGCACTGAGAGCAGCAGAAGTTTACTGGGTTAAGGGAGTGTTGGCAGGTAGGAGGGAGACTGAGCAGGTTGCACAGGACATTGACATAGTGGGAGATGGAGTGAATAGACTGGCAGCATCTTCAGCCTAGGACTAGTGGTGGGTAAGGCAAGTCCCCTCTGAGCAGCTGGGGAGGTGATGTTGCTTAGTCTTGTGAACTGATCACAAGTCATGGGGTTTGGGAGCCTGCAGGAGATGCTGTTCAGATAACATGAGATGCTCCCTCAGTCCTGTGATTCTTCAGGGCTAAGCATGTGTGGGCAGTGCTCTGTGTGAGAGCCTTTAGGGTAATGTCACAAATCTGCCCTGCACCCTGATCCCTACCATCAGGTGTGGCCCTAGAGCAGAGAGAGGGTCCATGAGCAATAGGAGGCAATGAAGAGGGGAGTCAGGGAAAAGTTGCTTTTAGGTCTGGGGCACCAGACCCAGCAGCAGCACTTCCCTCCTTCCACTGCTTTTATTGGAACCCAGGTAGAGGAAGAGCCTTGGGAGAAAGCAAGGGCAGGGGAGGGTACGAATCAAGAAAGTAATAGGAGAACTTTCTTCACTTCTTTTCTTATTGATGAGGAGAAGTTAAGTGGAGCGGACTAGCCAGGGAGAAACATGCATGGTGTGTGCATTAAAATGAATTTTTCAACTTGAAATTATTACACACACACACAACCATAGTGAGGATTTAAAACGTCAAAGACAGACTAAAAACATGGTTAATAGGACAAATCTCATGATTTTTTTTGAGGGGGGATCTGTCTAATCATTTTCTCTGTCTTTAAGGAATCCAACATGGTTTTTGATTTCTTGAGGCTGGCAAGGGTGCAAATGAGAACAGAGTTTAGGCTACTGTTGATTTTAATTTGTTTTTATACTCTTTAATATTATTATTCTAAACACAACACTTCATTAACTGGTTAAAGTGCACTACTTGTTGGGGAAGTGGGAGGAGGGAAACCACTTTAGGCCCTTTCAGTCCTTGTAAATGCATGAAATTATGAACTTAGCCAATTATCAGTGTTGTTTATTCATATATTTTGAAGGCTAGAAGAGTCCACTGTAATCACTTAGTGGGACCAGTATAACTCACAACATAACATGTTGCTGTGTAATTCCTATATCAAGCCCACAAGATTGTGCCTAAATCGGAGAATGCAGGTCAATGGACTTACGTGATTTTAAAAATTGCATCCCCAGACTTTGAAGATTTCTTGTAATGGAGATCTCACAATCTCCCTTGGTAAATTGTTAACTTACAACTTGATATTATAGATGTTGTTCCTAGCTACCTTTGGAATACAGGCATCTCTAAGGGTAGTGTAAAGATTCAAATAGTCTTCTATTTCAAATCCTTCTTCAAGACTTCAGTGCTAATCAGTAATACTGACCTGCATCTGTACAGCATTCCCTTGCCAAAACAATTGCATTTAAAAACAAATGCTGTAATACAGTGCCATCTTCTCTGTTCCCCTGTGGATTTCCTATTATCTGCCTGTAAAAAATGTAAGAAACTTGGAGCAAGAACCATCTCTCCATCATCTTTGTCTTGTACAGTATTGAACATATTGTTATTGATTAACAAATGCTACTTTTTTTTTTTTACTGCTCAAGGACATTTCAGCTCTTGTGTAAAGCCAACAATACATATGGCCAGCTGAGCACCTGGGCTTTGATAGCTGCCAAGAGCAAGCAGAAAAAGCGACTTAATCTATTATTCAGGAGCTTCAAGGGGTAGCCGAGTTAGTCTGCTACAGAAAAACACAACAAATGGTCTGTTTTAATCTATTGTGATGGTGACAGAGGAGAAAGAGAGAAAAGGGGCATGTTACATACAAAGAAAGATAATTACAAACAAGTGTATGTTTGTGCCAGCATATTCAGTGGTGGTGATGTGCAATTATTGATCAAGATGCCTCAGTTTTAGATTAACCTATGCCAGATACACTGCACATAAAAATCTGTCATTTCAATGGCTTGTCAGAAAGGGAAGTGCATGATTCTGGGTGCTTTTACAATCAGTGCAGGACCAAAGAATTCATACATGTTTATCACTATTCCTTTTGGAAGCAGTTCCAAGGACTGGGGTGAAGAGAGAATAGAGAGTGAACCTACAACATGAAAAAATTGATTTCATTTTAAAGTGTACTTCTAGGGTTTTGGATTACCATAGAACCTTTCTTATCCGGCATCCTTGGGTCCTGACCAATGCTGAACCAGAGAATTTGCCAAACCACAGGAGGTCAATATTGTTTAGCAGCATTACCAACACTTCCACTGCTTACTAGGCTTTTGAAGACATTTAGACGTAAATTAGGGCTAAATAACAGCACAGAACACTGAGAGCCAGAATTGGTGGCTGTAAACAAACTTGATGGGACCACGGGAAACTTGGCCACACCCATGATATGTGGACATCTATCTAACTAAAATCATGCTGGACCACAGGTGTTGCCAGACTAGAGAGTTTCAAACAGTAGAAACAAATTACTTTTGTCTAGCTTCTTCCCCTCCCCAGCTAATAAAGAGGTAAGACTCCGATTTTTAAAGGTATTTAGGTGCATCATTTAACTTTATTTTAAAAATTGGCCCTAAATGAATTACATTTGTTGTCTGCTTTGCCTCTGATGAATTAAATGTTGTTGATAGATGGCACAGAAAAGAGTAAGTTGCAACTTTCCCAATTTCAATTTTATTAACAGAAGGAAAAGTCAAAGCACGTGAGTTTTTTTTTTTTTTTTTTTTTTTTTAAATAGCCAGGCCCAGTTTTTCCCCAGTGGTGCACTGA